TACCCCTAGCTCTGGAGCTGCCTCTGGTCCCCTAGTCAGTTGAAAGCAGCTCTCCTTCCAGCCCCCAAGACTTCTTCCTTCTCAAGCTTTCTGCCAAAAATGTTCACTCTTTCCGAAGAGGAGCGAGGGTGTGAGGGCAGCCCCCATCTTCAGCCCCAGGGCCGGCTTGCACCATCTGGTGTCTGGGGCCTTCTCCTCTAGGCCCAGTAGTCTCTGCTCTAGGGGCATACCCAAGAAAACCCACAGCTTCCAAACTCAAGGGCAGTCTCCACAGCCTCCTAATCACAGCTGTCAGCCATCAACCCAGGTGTCTTCTCTGCCTCATGTCCTACAATTCCAAACAGCTGGCTCTTCTGATATGACGCAGTTGGAAGCCTTTGTTGAGTGTCCACAGACCCTGAAAGTCTTGCCTTGAAAGACATCCCAGCTAGGGCTGGAGGGTTTGAAAACCCAGAGCCCAGGAGTACAGCCTCCTCCAGCCCCTGCACAAGGGACCCCTACACTACCCACTCCTCACAAGACCATGGTTACCCAGCTCAGCATCCCCTTCCAGCTAAAACAAATCCATCTTGGGTACTGGGGACTCTGGCACAGCCTATTTCCTAGAGAAAAAGTAAGCACAAAATTGTGCTAGGGGGGTGTGGAGAGAAAAGAGGCCCCATTATTTTAGTCAAAATAGATGGTGTGTTGGGCCTCCCTGGTGGTGCAGGGGTTAGAGTCTCAGCACTGTCAAGCTATCACTAGCCACTGCGGCATGGTTCCATCACCAGAGCAGATCTCTCCTGCCTCATCCGCCGCTCCCCTCAGCAGTGTATTTCAGTAGATCCACCTGTTTTGCTCCCCACTCTGTCTCTGGTGAACCCTTTTACCCCCCACACCGCTGGCCTACAACTCAGTTCTTGTATGTATAAATAAATAAAAATAAATCTTAAAAAAAAATTACTTGGGAAGGTGGGGGACAAGAATTTTTTTAAAATTTGTTTATTTATGCATGGGGTACAGGCCAGAGGTGCGGGGGTGGAGGCGGGCAGTGAGAGGATTCACCAGAGACAGAGTGGAGAACAGAACATGCAGACTGACTGAAATACACTGCTGAGGGGGAGCAGCGGGTAAGGCAGGAGAGGTTTGCTGTGCCATGTGGGTAGCTCCCTGGCTGGCTGGGAATCGAACTCATGCTGCAGAGGCTACGGAAAGCTTCATAACGTTGTGCTTAACCCCTTGTGCCACCAAGGAGGCCTACGGGAACCAGAATTAATTTAACTAGAGCTTAGGGTGGTTCTCAACTGGGCTAAATGAACCCAGGAAAGTCACATCTTCAGGAACATGGGGTGGCAGTACAGTGTAGCACATAACCTCTCTATTTAATAGCCAACTATTAAATATATTAAATAAAATAAGACAATGCATGCAAAGCACATAACATAACATCAGACACACTATAGGCACTCAACATATTATTCCAGTAGCCGTCCTTACCCAGGGCCATGTTCCCAGGTCCCCTGTGATGCCCAGAAATGTGGATAGTACCTAACCCTATAGATACAAGCCTCTGATAAAGTTAATTTATAAATTAGGCACAGCAAGGGAGTTACTAATGATAAAATAGAGCAACTATAACAACATACTACAATAAAAACCATGTGAATTTGGTCTTCTCTCTCAAAATATCTTTTTTTAAAGATTTATTGATTTATTTATTTATGCATACAAGAACTGGGATACAGGCGGGGGGGGGCGGGTGTGGTGAGAGGATTCACCAGAGACAGAGTGGGGAGCAGAACAGGCAGATCTACTGAAATACACTGCTGAGGGGAGCAGCGGGTGAGACAGGAGAGGTCTGCTATGTCCTGTGGGTCACCTCCTTGGCCGGGGATAGAACTCGTGCTGCAGTGGCTAGGGATAGCTCCAAGTGTTGAAACTTAACCCCCTGCGCCACCAGGGAGGCCCCTCAAAATATCTTATTGTACATAATATTCTGAATCTCAGTTGAGCATGGATAACTGAAACTGAGGAAAACAAATCTGCAGATGGGGGGGAGTACTGACTTACTACAGTTGACCCTTGAACAATCTGGGGATTAGGGGCGCTGACCCCACACAGCTAAAAATCCATGTATTACTTCTCATCCCTCCCCACCTCCATTAACTTCAGTCATGCCCCTTGGAATCCTGGGGGATGGATTTCAGGATATCCCCAACCCCCACTCTGTGGATACCAAGATCCACAGGCGCTCAAATCCCTTATAGATGGTTTCCACATCTGTGGATCTGGGAGAATCAACTGTATTTACTGAAAAACTACACATATAAGCAAACCTGCACAGTTCAAATCTGTATTGTCCAAGGGTCCACTGTACAGACTCACACTGACTCTCTTCTTGTGATGAGGCTGGAGTTTCCCCAGACAGCAGACTCTGCCTCTGGAAGCAAGCCACTGGCCCCAAACACAGACTGGAACTCTAAGCCCTAGAGCTGACGATGGTGTGAGCCTTGCCTGTCCATGCTAACCTGTGATTCTCTGTGGCTAGACCAGGTGGGACTGGGAGCTTAAAGCCATATGTACAGCCTGTGACCTCTTGGCGGACGGAGTTCTCGAAGCCCTGCACCCTCCAAAAGCCTCCCAACAAAAGCCTCTAGCACTTATATTCTACGTCACACACTGTGGAGTTTTATAATTTTGACCCAACAGCTATTTCACAGGAATTCGTTCTTTCACCTCAAGGGCAGTTTGAGGACCCTGAGGGTAGGAATCATGTCAACATTTTTCTGTACTCTCCCCAACTGCACCCTAAACTAGGACCACCCTGAGAGCAGAGTAAGGGTCTTTCCATTGGCACTGGATTTCTAATCCCGCTGGTGACACTCTTGGTTCAGCACCCTGGATATCTATCCCCCATCCTAGTCTTGGTGGCTCCTCCACCAAGACAAAAGGAACTGGTCTACTCTCCAAGAGTGGAAGGTGAACAAGAGCTAATTGTGGGGTGGAGGTGGCAGAGGTAGACAATTACTTTACAGTGAGGAAGACCTGTGAACTTGACCTCTCAGACCTCATCTACCCATGCGGTTTCCTAAGGCACAGGGAGATCCATCCTTCCTCACCTTGCTCACTCAGGGAAACCTTACAGTAAAACAAACTCTGGGGGGGGGGTCACAGTTCTTTCAGGTCACATATGGAGAGGTTGTCCCCAAAGCGATGGTCAGCGGAGGTCCCAGCAGTGGTCTCACGCTGAGTCCAGAACACTGATTTTCCATAAAATATAACCACTGTGTTGAATGACAGTCCACCCTCCCCCCCTTACCTTAATGGTGAGTTTTCTCTCAATTCTTCTCATTCCTTCATGTTTTTCTGTTCTCAGACTTTTCAGATTCCTTTAAGACTCGCTAGGAGGAGATTAAAATACCAAGCTCTTCTTCCAAGTGGCTTGTTCACTCAGATCGAGGAAGGGGTAACATCTTTCACCTCTAGCCAATAAAGGCAAAGTCCCAGGCCTTGCCCAGTGAAGCTTGTCCTGGCATGCTGTTATTGTTGCAGTACAGAGAAGGCAGAGGCTGAGAAGTCCTGCTGGTCAAGAGCAGCAGCTCCCAGAACAGTAAACTCCTTCAGGATGTTGAACTTTGGTATGAGCAGAGCTGGCTAACCTCTGCCTAGAGTCTGGCCCTCAGCTGTGTAAACTAAGAAACTCAGCATTTCACCATTCCTGGTGACTGATTTGATTCAAAGAACCAAGCTCACAACAGGCAAATGCATAAAGCAACTTTCAAGTGGGCAGGAAGAGCATGAACAGCCAGGGCATTTTCTCAAAAGGAAAATCTTCTCCGAAGGCAAATAACAATTAGGAGATTGCATAATGAACAAGGAAAGGAGTAAAGGAGAGGAGCTGGCACTAGGGGAGCTAGAGCTGAGGGAGACTTCATCTGGGTCTGTTGAGATCAGAAAAAAATATCCTTGCTCAAGAGAATACAAGCCCGTAGTTACTGAAATATTTATACCCCTAGGTCTGGAGTGCTGAGTAAACATCAAATTCTTGCTCTGTGAGTTCTTCTTTCTAGGTTCCACATTGCCCATCTCCCACATGTCTCTTCAGCTTGTGCAGTTAGTTAGATTTAATTACGGCCATGCATTTTTTCAAAAAGGACTTATTGGATGTACACATCCAGAGCAGAATAGGCAGTTTGAACTGTTCTTCTTGGTTACAAGTCACATTGTACTGCCACCCTTTAGTTCTATGGAGGCTTCAGTTTATCTGCTTATCTTATTCCCAAGATGTCAGAGGGAACCTCACTCTTTCTGCAGTTTCATAATATTAGGGCACGAATTTTTCCATAAAATAAAGATTCATATTCTAAAGTCAAACTGGGAAGTGCAGAAGTGAGAAGCTCTCCTTCAGCAGCCATCAGTGACTGAGGTTTTGTTGAGTATGCGCGAAGGGCCAGTGGATGGGCCCCATTCTTTCGGATTTCTCGTCTCTGAGCTAAACATCCTCCACATCTGGTGATTGGGGCACCGGCCAGGAAGAGACTGTTGTTTTCGTCCCTCAAATTGAGGGACCCTAGTGGGCACCCTAGATGGCCCAGGTACATCCAGTTCACAGACATTTATTGATCACCTACTGCATTCTAGGCACCGCGACTATAAAACACTAAATCGCTGTCATGAAGGTTTCTCAAATCTTGACCAATTAGTAGCATTAGTTGACAAAGTACTAAAAACAAAGAAACCTTATCTATGAAGTCTAGTGCACCCCAGCGGAATAACACCAGGTTTATCTCAGGTCAAAGGCCCTCCAGTGACCAGGTAATTTGAACCCTTCGCCCCAGAGCTCCCGCCCCTCGCGCAGCCCAGAACCGCTGCCTTCGAAGACCTGGCGGGCGCCCAGCCTCGTTGCACCGGCCGCCGCCCCGCCCCCGCAAGCCCCCGGGCTCCCATTGGCTGAGGGGCACACAGCGAGCCAATCCCCATAGACTGCAACGCCCTCCTCTCGGGATCACTTCCGCCGCTGGGGTCAGGCCCCGCCCCGCTTGCCCGGCATCGCTGGCGGCGCCGGAGTCAAGATGGAGGAGTATGCGCGAGAGCCTTGGTGAGCTTTCCCCCCTTACCTTCCTGTCTCCTGCCCTCTTTCTCCCCTGACCAGTCTCCCGAGGTGCAGGGCGGACTCAGTCTCGGGTGTGTCGACGCGGGCTTGGTAACCGAAGGCCACGAGGGCTGCGGCCCAGCCCTGTACCCCGCGGGCTGCGTGAGGCAGCCTCGCCGGTTCCCACCCGGCACCTCGTGACCTTGCGCCGGACGGCGAGGAGGTCCGCACCTGGGTCTGACGGAGCCTCGGAACCTGCTCCTAACCCTGAGTCCAGTCGGCTGGTGCGGGGTCAGTAATAATCCCCTCTGACCGCTGAGATGACCTTGGACGCGTCCCTACGCCTCGCTGTTGCTCAGTTCCTCCTCCTCGAGAAAGGAAAGCTAGGCCTTGGGGGGGATATTGTTTGGGGCTTTATTTGTATGATATGTGACCCCTGGACGAAGCATTTCAAATGTGTGGAACGTAGATTATGCCCAGGATGTCTGGATAAACTCCTGTAGGCGGGAGGAGGTGGTAAAAATTATCTGGAAAAGAAAGAGATAGTAGCTATTGTTCTCCGAAAAGCTATGGACAGAAACCTATTCATTCAGCTTTTATTCAGAGCTAGCACTTGGTTAGGTTCGAAGAATAAAAGCATGAAGAATATCAGGCATGTAAATAGTAAAATAGCGTAATTGGTGTAAGAAGTCTCAGGTTGCCTTCGTTGAAGGCTTCTGGGGTCATAATGGGTCTCATTTATTTAAACCATTAGGTAATCCCTTTACTTACACTTAGTACATAACGTCCTGAAGCAATGCAGTCAGTTGCCTGGTTAGTTCTGTAGTCAAAACTGCTTTGATCTTCTGGACTGCCCTGTTTGGTAGGAGCATTTTCTCAATCACCCAAGCTCAAACAATTGCATGGAATGCCCTCTCTCTGTCTATTCCCTCTTCCAGCACGCATAAGCTGTCTGAATTTCTTTCAAAATGTTTGCCTTTTGATTCCTATTGTCAAGATTTTATCTATTGTCCTTTAATTCCTTTTTACAATAGCTTCCTAATAGCTTTCTTTACTTCTAGCCCTTTTTACATCTTATGGACTTACTCATCCCAAATACAACTTGTTACAATGCTTTCTTTTCAAAAACTCTTAGTCTCTGTTTTACAGTTGAAAGAATTTGAGGGCTTTGGCATACCAGAGTTTGTATTTAAATTGCTTGTACTTACTGCCTATGTGACCTTGGGCAAGTTAATCTCTGTCTGAGCCTCTGTTTTTCTGTAAAATGGAGAGGGGACAGGAATACTCTTGCAAAGTTAAAAGGTTAGTTACTCTGGGAAAGTAAACCTAGCTTTCTCGAAAATCACAGTGGTTTTTTTTTTTTTGTAAAAATGCACCTGTTATGGGCCTCCCCAGGTGGCGCAGTGGTTGAGCGCTGGGCTGCGAAGCTGCCCGCAGCCTCTGCAGCGCCAGTTCGATCCCCGGCCACTGGCGAGGGTCCCACATGGCTCGCAGACCTCTCCTGCCGCCCGCTGCTCCCCTCAGCAGTGTATTTCGTCAGTCTGCCTGTTCTGTTCCCCGCTCTGTCTCTGGTGAATCCTCTCACCCTCCCATGTATCTAGCCTGTACCCCGGTTCTTATATAAATAAATAAATCTTTAAAAAAAATGCATCTGTCATCAGCGTGTCGATTTATTAAAGTAGTTAATGCTTAATAAATGATAGCTTAATATTGTTCCTGTTAGTTACTGATTCTGTTGTATTTTTCTGGCATTTCCATTCTTTTGGAGTTTTATCTTCCACCTTCCATTTATGTAGCCCATCACTTCCCTGCGAGGACATTGTGATTTAGTTCCGAAACTCTTTCCATCTTAACTTTGTTGTGGACATCCTCTCTTGAAATACTCTGCACTCTGATCTGAATCCTGCTGTTCTTTACTGACTTTTTTATTTTTATTTTTTTAAAGATTTATTTTTATTTATACAAGAACTGAGGTACAGGCCAGAGGCACGGGAGCATGAGAGAATTCACCAGAGACAGAGTGGGGAGCAGAACAGGCAGACACACTGAAGACACTGCTGAGGGGAGCAGCGGGCGAGGCAGGAGAGGTCTTCCACGCCATGTGGGTTTCTTCCTGATTGGCCGGAAATCGAACCTGTGCTACTCAGGCTGTGGACAGCTTCACAGTGCAGTGCTCAACCTGGTGCGCCACCCGGGAGGCCCCTACTGACTTTTTTAATGGTCACTGATTTTATAAGATCACTGTTTATAAGATCACTTAGGCTAAATCTTAGATTTATTAGACCACCAGCCTTTTTACATACATATTTACAAGTACTGACCCACTACACTGAGGGAGTCACTAATTTATTCTTTGTCTTTCTTCCTTATTTCTTGTTAATGGTTTAAAGTCAAAGCACTCCTTCTTAAACTTTTTTTTTTTAAGATTTATTTATTTATGCATATAAGAACTAGGATACAGACCAGAGGTGCAGTGGGGTGAGAGGATTCACCAGAGACAGAGTGGGGAACAGAACTTGCGGTTTGACTGAAATACACTGCTGAGGGAAGCATCTAGCAAGACTGGAGAGGTCTGCTGCTCCACTGGGTCAGCTCCCTGGATTGAACTCGTGCTGCAGTGGCTATGGATAGCATCACAATGCTGAGACTTAACCCCTTGTGCCACCAGGAAGGCCCCTCCTCAAACTTTTAAAGTGAAATCACATCTCATGTGTGGATCTAATTCTGTCCATTCTGGTTCAGTAGGTCCTGGGGGGAGCCCAAGAGTTTGCATTTCTAGCAAGCTCCCAAGTGTTGGTGATTTTGCTTCAGGACCACAAAAGCAGGCCCGCTGACAACTGGAGTAGCTGCCACATGAGATAGTTGTTTTGTACAAAGTCTGGATTTGTACTATACTTGAAAAGAATGTGTTATTTTGACGTCAAGTTTTTGTGTTCCTATCTGGCAAAGTTGGAAATGACTCATTCATATTTTCTAGAAGTAACAATATGTTAAATTCAAAAGTGTACTTGAGCAAGTAGATTGCCAGCTGTCCATTATAGTAGTTGACACTTGAAACTAAGTATCTTTTACTTATTGTGAGTTCAAGTGAATTTAATAGTCAGAGACTGTAAATCACATTCCTTGAATAGTTGCTCTATTCTTATCAATCAGATTACTCAGATTTCAGTGTTTTGTGTAATGTGGGGTGCTGCATTTGGGAGCTGAGTTTACAGATTTGCCCTCTAACTGGAATCAATGTTGTAAATGGATCCAATACAAACTAAGGTTCCAAATGCAAAAAAAAAAGAGAATTTCAAGTGCAGAAAGAATTTCAAGTTTTTTTAAATTGAAAAATTTTTTTTCCTTTGCATCTATTGAATTTTCATTCTTCCAGTCTCACCTTTAATTTTTGCTTCAGCTGGAGAACTTACCTTGACCTCCAGGAGATTGACTCAACATTGTTGATTATAATGTCATTTCCTATAATGTCATAGGTGTTTATTTGCTTTTGAACAGTGCTCCACTTAAAATAGATACTCATTGTTAAATGCATGAAGAAAGTGCTGTTATAGGGAGTTACAACAGCAGCAATGAGGACTTAAGCTGATGCCATTCCTTCAGGTTTAGATGACTTGGGGCTGAATAGGTATGAAGATGTTCAGAATCCTTTATCTTTGTATTTCATGGGCCTGGCATTGCAATGGACTGACATTGAAATGGACCCTGCACTACAGTCTGTTGCATCTCTTACTATGCTAGCAGAGGTTTCATGTAAGCTGATGAATGAGAAATATGGTCATCTTTTTTTCCCCCCTGTTCTTAGCCCCTGGCGAATTGTGGATGACTGTGGTGGGGCCTTTACCATGGGCACCATAGGTGGTGGTATCTTTCAAGCAATCAAAGGCTTTCGCAATTCTCCAGTGGTAAGTGGGTGAAAAGTCTTTATCATCACTTGAAGCTGATAAATATCACTGGTTTCCCCTTTGGTGGGTTGGAATTGTACCTATAATATATTTTTGGTTGCTTTCTTTCGTTTGCTTTTAGGGAGTAAACCACAGACTACGTGGCAGTTTGACAGCTGTTAAAACCAGGGCTCCACAGTTGGGAGGTAAGCATAATCTTTCCATATGTATTCCAGAAATTTTTTCCTGTTGATTTGAAGGAGACACTCTGGTTTTTGTTGTGTTAAAGATACAGACATGCATACATGTATATGTATCTATTATATGTGTATGTAACACATTATATATCATTTTTATTCTTTTTTAGATTCTACCAACTAATGTTTTAGTTCAGTTTAACAGCTTGTCACAAATTAGTGTTTGTAGGTTTTTGATTTATGGTTATTCAGAAATTTAACTGGAATTGTTATATCCATTTAAAAATCTTATCTCTGTCCATCAAATGCTTTGTGTTTTGTTTTTGGTGAATCATGATTCACACTGATACTGCTTATTCTAGTCCCGCCCGGAGGGTTCATTATTCTTCATTTTCATATGACTACCTTCTCCCTTGCCTTGCTTGGGTTGTGGCACCCCATGCCAGGCTGCTAACACATAGATACCCCTGGGCTTATGCTGTATTGTAACTGGTTAGATCTGGTAGATTTAACTGGTTATGTCGAAGACCAGATTTCAGCAAAATGTCGGGTCAGGTGTCCCTGAAAGGATGAGATGACCTAGGCGAAACTTTAAGGGCTGAAGGGAAGGGGAGGTGAGGCAGATACAAACACTCTTATTTTGGTGAAAGCATCTCCTGCTGAGGGTCTCAGCGGGTCTTTATACGTTTTAAGCAAGCGATGGGATTACATTATCATATGCATAGATGCAAAACAAAACAATCAGTACATTCCTTTCCCATAGACATATTGGTGCCTACGTGTTTTTAAGAAAAGAAACAGGGCCTCCCCGGTGATGCAGCGGTTGAGCGCTTGGGTTGCTTGTGTTGCGAAGATGCCGGCAGCCTCTGGAGTGCCGGTTCGATCCCCGCCTGCTCCCCTGCCACCAGAGGAGGGTCCCACATGGCGGGCAGACCTCTCCTGCCGCCTGCTGCTCCCCTCAGCAGTGTACTTCCGTCTTTCTGCCTGCTCTGCTCCCTGCTCTGGCTCTGGTGAATTCTCTCACCCTCCCACACTTCTGACTGTACCCAGTGCTTGTATAAATAAATAAATAAATAAATCTTAAAAAAAAAAAAAAGAAGAGAAACAACTTTAAAAGTAAATAGATAGGGCCTCCCCGGTGGCGCAGCGGTAGAGCGCTGGGTTGCGAAGCTGCCCGCGGCCTCTGCAGCGCCGGTTCGATCCCCGGCTGCTCCCCGGCCACCGAAGGAGAGTCCCACATGGCGCGCAGACCTCTCCTGCCGCCCGCTGCTCCCCTCAGCAGTGTACTTGGGTCCTTCTGCCTGCTCTGCTCCCCGCTCTGGCTCTGGTGAATTCTCTCACCCTCCCGCACTTCTGACTGTACCCAGTGCATGTATAAACAAAACAAACAAACAAGCAAACAAACAAATAAAGAAAAACATGCCTCTATAAAAAAAAAAAAAAAAAAAAAGTAAATAGATAATTAAAATTTAGACTCATTATTTCAGCCTAAACAACTACCTAGGTCAGCTAACAGACCTTGGTACCACCCTATCGCCAAGGCTACAATATCATGAGACTCCTCTATCTATTTGTCCTGCAGCTAGAAACCAGTTGCTTCCCAGTAATCAGTTATTAGAACTTTTTTTCTACCTAGAAGCTCCTAGCACAATCAACTTTATGATTCATTACAAGGCTTCTTTACAGAACTTCCATATGAGGAATATTATTATGACCAGCTCTAGGTTGCTTATCAGACATGCCCTTGCACAGTAATTATTTCCCATTGTCAAGTGGGCCAAATTATTCGGGGTTTAATTTTTAAGCAAGTAATTTTCCATGCCATGTACTTACAGTATTCTTATATATATGATTTATTGCCCAATGTATATTCCATGAGGTTTTTTCTTTTTATGACCAAGAACAAAAAACAAAGGGATGTTTAATCTTCAGCCCCACAGTGTCAGGCTCTTTAAACTTTGGCCCCATGGTGTCAGGCCCTTTTTCTTCAGCCCCACGGTTTGAGGCTCTTTAAACGTTGGCCCTACGGTTTGAGGCCCTTTTCTTAGCTGCTTGCCAGTGTTTTACCTGGCTGGGGCAGCTAGGCCCCTTGCAGCATGGTTATGTTTGTTAGATTTGATTGGTTATATCTACTAGATTTCCAGTGAGAGCTGGAGAAGAATCTGGTGGTAACCACAATGCTCTGGCTCCCTACACTAGGCCGCCTTTCTGCCAGGACTCAGGATCTCCATTCTCATCAATAACCCTAACTCAGTGTGACAGTTATTAGAAGAATCTGGTGGTAACCACAATGCTCTGGCTCCCTACACTAGGCTGCCTTTCTGCCAGGACTCAGGATCTCCATTCTCATCAATAACCCTAACTCAGTGTGACAGTTATTCTTAGGGGATAGGGAGTGGGAGTGAGGGAGTGGGAATCTCTGAGGAATTTTGTGAGGTGATTCTGACATACTGAGGCATCATGTCACTCTCCCAGGATATAGAAAGTGTATTCATTCTAGCAGAGTTAGAAAATAAAAGCACACGGAACTAAGTTACAGTTGTGGTGCCCAGAGAGGATGCTGATGAAGAGCTTCGTTCTTTCCAGATTTTGTGTGTACTTGTTTACGTGTGTGTGTATGTGTTGGTGTTTGACTTTTACTTACAGAATTGTCAGCTGTGTTCAGGAGGAGTGTGAGCCTCACGCTTGAGCACTACTAAAGGATGGAAAGGAGAGGAAGGGAACTTCCGTCCTCCTGATGTTCCAAAGTCTAACCATGTGCCATTCATCCGCCACTTGAGCATCTGCGGGCTTACACCTGCAACACAGCCGGAATAGAATACATTTCTTTTGTGTTCCTCTTGGGGTTTGCATAGAGTGGGCGCTCAGGGACACTTACTGAAAAAAATAGGAGTTAGAGTCAAGCTATAGGAGGAGGGAGGGAGCAGGTGGTTTGGTTTTATGTATTGATATTTAAACATGTACATTTTTCTCAAAAGGAATTTGAGTGTTTAGACCCAGGTACTCTGATTCTTTCAGGCCTGACTTCTTTCAGGTGTTGGACCATGACCTATATTCCCGCTGATGAAATACAGTCTAGGTTTTATTAAAAAGATAGGTGTTCTGACTTTTGTTAAATACTTATTTAGACTTGTATCTGCATGTATTTGGGGTATGAGAGTTTTAAGAATTTAATGAGTGTTGTTATTTAAACTTATTTTTAACTGTAATACTTTAAATAGCAGATAAAAATTAAATATGTATTTTTTTGTTTGTTGTTAAATAAAATAGGTAGCTTTGCAGTTTGGGGAGGTCTGTTTTCCATGATTGACTGCAGTATGGTTCAAGTCAGAGGGAAGGAAGATCCCTGGAACTCCATCACAAGTGGTGCCTTAACAGGAGCCATACTGGCAGCAAGAAGTAAGCAGTCATAGGCACTAGTAGAAGCAAGACTTTTTGGAAAACCTCGTGTCTTAATTTACTGATATCTGTGACTTATAAAACTAAGCATTTCCTAACTTGGTGTAATATGAATGTATATGGTGATTGGTGGGGGGATGTAAGGGACTGTATTGGACTGTATTTGGAATGTTGGAGAATGAGTGATCATGGAGTTCTAACCACTAAGAGCAGTTCAGCTCCTGGTTCTTCCATTTACTAACTGATTGGCAGTTTACTAATAAACATTGACAGTTTCCTCATCTGTATTCTGGAGTTAAAAATCACACCCACAGGACCTACCTGGTGGCGCTGGGGTTAAGTCTCTCACTATTAAGCTATTGCCAGCCACTGTGGCATGAGTTCAATCCCTGGCCAGGGAGCTGACCCACATGGCGCAGCAGATCTCTCTTGTCTTGCCCGCTGCTCCCCTTAGCAGTATATTTCAGTAGATCTGCCTGTTTTTGCTCCCCACTCTGTCTCTGGTGATTACTCCCTGCATCTTTGGCCTATACCCCAATTCTTGGATGCATAAATAAATAAAAATAAATCTTTTTTAGAAATAACACCTGCACATAGCACTGTTAGAAATTAAGAGTTTAGAACCATTTTCTTTGAGGTCTTAGGGCCAGAGAGTAATCCAGAATTCCTTTAGGCTTAGTGGTTTAGGTCAGACATTGACAGGTTGTAAACATTTTAGGCTTTGTGGGTTTGAGGTCTTTGTACAACTGCTTAACTCTGCTGTAGCCCAAAAGCAGCCATAGACAGTGTATAAATAAATGAACGTGACTGTGTGTTCCAATAAAACTTTATTTACATAAATAGGCAGTGAGCTGAGTTTTATCTACGAGCCACAGTTTTGACTTACTGTCTTTACCAGTGGGTAAGAGGGAGTAACCATGTAGACAATTCTTTATCTTACGTTAAACTAGATTTCTAACAGTAATCTCTTTGTTGTTTTGTATTCTAAGATGGACCAGTGGCCATGGTTGGGTCAGCTGCAATGGGTGGCATTCTCCTAGCTTTAATTGAAGGAGCTGGTATATTATTGACAAGATTTGCCTCTTCACAATTTCCCAATGGTGAGTTTCGTTTCTGCTTAATATCATAGTGCAAACATTTTTAAATGGTATCCTAATATCTAGAGAAAACATATTTTGTCTGCTAAAAAGTGGCTCAAGAAATTGGTAATTTCTTTTAATAAGCAAATGAACCCTGATTAAACCAGAAAACTAAAAGAAAAGCTCAACAGCACATTATCTAACCAAAGCATTTTGATTATTGTGCCTAAACACTGTAACTGCAGCCATACCTTTTCAAATAGAACCAGAGACAACTGTCATAGGCTTATTACCAATTAGAAATTACCAGTTTAGAAGATCTTTGCATATGTGTAACAGCAATGATAACTTCTTTCCATACCCTTACGTGCCAGGCACTGATCTAGGTGCTAAGGATACAGGGGTGAACAAGTACTTACCTCCTGGTAGGGGAAGACAGACTGACATATTAGCAGATAAATGAGATTATTGATTGTGTTGCTTGCTTTGAAAAAAATAAGAGTGAGGCCTCCCTGGTGGCCTAAGGGTTAAGTCTCAGCACTATCACCTCGATGGCCTGAGTTAGATCCCAGCCAGGGAGCTAGATACATGGCACAGCAGACCTCTCCTATTTCGCCGCTGTTTTCCTTAGTGTATTTCTATTTCTGTACATCTGCCTGTTCTGCTCCCCACTTGTCTCTGGCGAATCCTCTCACCCCTTGCACCTCTGGCCTATTCTTCTATGCAAAATAAATAAAAATCTTATAGTAAAGAAATCTTTTAAAAAAAATTAAAGAGTGGTAGAAAAGTGACTCATGTTTGGGATGGTCACTGTAGGGTTCACAGGGAAAGTCTCTGGAAGTTGGTAATGTTTATTGCTAATTATTCATTTTATCTGCTAGATAGGGTAGAAACTAAGTTGTGGACCAGGTGATCATTACGTGAAGATCTCAGCTATTAAGCAGTTACTTGAAACTATAGAAACCTTAGTTGTCTAAATGAGAATGTAGCTTGGCATAGAAAGGAAGCAGAGAGATATTGTGAGGATTATAGAAGCGAACGCTTGTCCTAGCATTTGGGGAAGAAAATATGCAGAATACTGAGACATGTGGAAAACTATTTTGGGAGTGTGGAAAAGATTCAGCTTTAAGTTAGGAATAGATCACAGCTCCCAATTTGATCTGATCTCCCTGAGGCACCTGGCGAGAGGTTCAGTGTCTCTGGCACAGTTTTCACACTGTTCATTAGATGCCATTTGGGGTGATTTTGATGTTGACCCTCCTACCTTATGTATTTCAGTCATTACTTCTGAGTTACTACTCATGTTATGGTCACTTTCTAATTTTACTTCTTAGTTTGTTTTTAACCATGTTAGTGTGGTAAAGATGTCACATACAACATCAGAAATTGATATAACAAAAACATACATTGTCTTTTAGAAATTAGTTTTGGTTATTTTGCCGTAGGCTTTTTCCTCCAAGGGAACTGTCACAAGAAGTACATTTTTATTTTTCACAGATGTGTTTCTGAAAAGCTGTGTGGCGGGACATCTTTGAGAAGTTAATCATTTTCCAATTACATGAAAAAGTTCTTGAAACAGTGAAAAAATTAGAACTGTATTAGGATGGTAACAATGGTTATTATTTATTTATTTTTTTCACCCAATAGCTTCTTAAGTTTTCTACAGTGGACAGATACTGCTTTTGCAGTGAAATGAAAATATACCCTTGGGTAAAGCATTGGGAGCTTCAGAGAATTAATTTTTAACACTGCCCTTTTTCTCTCTTCAGATATTTTTTAGTCTGCTTAGATTTCCTGCAGGGGGTGGGGGGGATTATTCCCGTGAGAGTCTTTTTTTAAAGAGCCATATTATTTTTTCTTAGTTTATAGGCTTTTCCATCCTTTGTAAACTAAATACTACATGACTTTATTCTACAGCAAGTTTAGCAGTATTTCCCCATTTCAGGACTCATCCCTACTTAATTGGTTGTATAAGTTGAATGACTGAGTTCTCTTAAACCATGATTAAGGTTCTTAAACATTGTGAAGATACTTTTAGATAGCCACTGAAAAACATGTCAGAAGGTATGGCAGCATCATAGCAGTTTCTTTAAAAACGTGACTGTTGCCCCTCTCTTCCTTGGTGCTGCCTACGGAGGTGGCAGCCATCTTCCATTTGGCATCATAACTGCCCTCAGACCCCTTAGGAAACCCACGGTTGTCAAAAAGAGCACCAGGAAGTTCATCTGGCACCAGTCAGTCCGACACATTAAAATTAAATGTAACCATCAGGAACCCAAAGGCATTGATAACAGGGAGCACAGGGTATTCAAAGACCAGATCTTGAGGCTCAGCATGGGTTATGGGCGCAGCAAGAAAATAAAGCACCTGCTGTCCAGTGATTTGCAGGTTCCTGGTGCACAACGTCAAGGAGCTTGACATGCTGCTGCTGAGCAGCCAACCTTACTGTGCGGAGACTGCTCACAACGTCTCCTCCAAAAACCAAAAGCCATTGTGGAAAGAACAGCACAGCTGGGCATCCACATCACCCACCCCAGTGCCAGGCTATGCAGCAAAGAGAAAGAATAGCCAGCTAGGGCCTCCCCAGTGGCGCAGCGGTTGAGCGCTGGGTTGCGAAGCTGCCTGCAGCCTCTGCAGCGCCGGTTCGATCCCCGGCTGCTCCCCGGCCACCAGAGGAGGGTCCCACATGGCGCGCAGACCTCTCCTGCCGCCCGCTGCTCCCCTCAGCAGTGTACTTCGGTCCTTCTGCCTGCTTTGCTCCCCGCTCTGGCTCTGGTGAATTCTCTCACCCTCCCGCACTTCTGACTGTACCCAGTGCATGTATAAACAAAAACAAACAAACAAACAAATAAATAAATAAATGAAAAACATGCCTCTATATAAAAGAATAGCCAGCTAGTGTGCACATGCATTGTGTTAATAAAACCATGAAACTGCAAAGGAAAAAAAAAAATACCAAGCTTGATGATTGCTTCTTGCGGTAATTAATCCATCTGACTTTCCTGGTGTAGCTTGAGAGCTGTTCATTCTGGAGCACAAGAGAAGCCAGTCTGTCATGTACCAAACAAATCTGAAGATGTTCTCAATGAGAATGAGACACATTTACAAAGAAATTGAGATTATAACCCTGAGAGAGCACATTTTTATTGAGCTGATTGACTTACTCTGTACAGAGACTTGTTTTTAGTTATATAATATTCTGATGATTTAAAATCCTTTTCTTTCTTAATTGCAGGTCCTCAGTTTACTGAAGACCCCTCTCAGTTGCCTTCCACCCAATTACCATCCTCACCTTTTGGAGACTATCGACAATATCAGTAGGACTGCTTTCCCAGGACTTTAACAGAACAAGCTGTAGTTCAAGAAAGGATTTCAGAAGATCAATTTAGTCTGGTTTTAAAAGCATATGTGGGACATCTGTGGCCGAATAGGCTATGAAGAGACATATAGCACTTTTTTCTATTTAAAGAAACATGGATAGGAAGGGGAATTGTTAAAAAAAAATGCATTTATTCACACTTGGATTGCATTTATGATCAAAATAAATGTCTAATATCTTTAAAAGAAAATGTAAGTGCTTAGAAGATGAAGGACCAAAGGGCAAACAGCAGTGAAATACCATTTCATCATTTCCTTGGGGACTTCTCTGCCTAATTTCATGTGTTCTGTTAGTCAAACAATAAAAAAAAACTCCTGGAACCTGCTTTCTTTTAAGATAGTTGTAGAGTTCTGCTTTTCATCCTCAAATGCTTCAAATAATGCAAATTACATTGAAAATTGCATGTTTTATTGTTAAGTCCTCATCTCACTGGAGGTAAATTATGTATGAGAAGAATTGTGCCAAGTCCGCATGGATATGGATTGAAGGCTATGATAAGATATTTACCTTTACTTTGAAAGTAAAATATGCTTTGTCTTGGTTTTGAGGAGGACAGATACAAAACTCTTACCTTTGAGGCACTGTGTCTTGATCTTTGATTCCTGATCATCAGAAACAACTTGGTTCCAGTACACTCAGTTCTATGGAGAAGACTTCATGGAGGTGTAGCACGGAAAAGTTTGTTGATTATGTGGTCAGAAATAAAGTATGTGCTGTTTTTAATATGTTTCAAGTCCCTCGAAGCTGATCTTCATAAAGGGTGTATTTGGGGTCTGGTTGGCCCTGGAAAATGGATTGCCATTTCATAATAGGCCATTGGTAGTGACGTGGGCCTTATAGAAGGCCTGTTGTTCTCAGTTCCCCAGTTGCCTACATTTGCGTGGCATGGGGAACAAATTCATGTTAGCACAGTGAGCACACAGCCTTTGGCCTAATGGCATATGCATAATAAGCATTTATTTACTAATTGTGGTTGGCTCCTTTTTTTGGTGTAAAACATACTTAAAACACTGACATTTCAACTATTTTTAAGTATACAGTTCAGTAGCATTTATATGCAATCAATGTAGCCATCAACCAAAGCTTCAACATCACCGACATGCTCTGAGCCCATATAATAAAACATCCCTCCAGTTCCTAGTAACTACAAATCTACTTTCTCTGTGCCTCCTGTAGACAGCATTCTGTCCATTTAGCAGAGTAATTCAGGGTCCATCTGTGTTAAATGCCACCATACTCCTTGGGTGGCTAAGTAATATCCCATTGTATATATATCATGTTTTGTTTATTCATTTATTGAAGGACACTTGAATTGTTTGTGCCTTTTCACTGTTTTAGATAATGCTGTTGTGAACATGGGTGTAAAGGTAGCTATTTGAGTGAATTTGCTGGGGCATATGGTGGTTCTGTGTTTAACTGCCGCGGACCAGCACAGCAGTAGCCCATGAGGCCACCTCAGGGTTGAGAGAAGCGTGCAGGGTGGTCAGGGCGTCGGCGAAAGAAATGACAGACAGACACACTTCAAGAGTGAAAATCTGAGTGTAATTTTCTTTAAGTTTGTGACTAGTATATATATGTTTTCCAAAAGCACAGGAATGAATATCAATGAAATTAGCTTGCTCATGGGCTCAGTCAATCATCGCTTGTTATGTAGATCACCTCCCTGATGATGATTGACTGAGCCCATGAGCAAGCTAATTTCATTGATATTCATTCCTGTGCTTTTGGAAAACATATATATACTAGTCACAAACTTAAAGAAAATTACACTCAGATTTTCACTCTTGAAGTGTGTCTGTCTGTCATTTCTTTCGCCGACGCCCTGACCACCCTGCACGCTTCTCTCAACCCTGAGGTGGCCTCATGGGCTACTGCTGTGCTGGTCCGCGGCATTTAACTTTCTGAGAACTATCAACCTTTTCCACAGCAGCTGTGCCATTTTGTATTCCTACCCAGCAATAACACAAGTTCCAGTTTGTTTATTTTTTATTTTTTTTTTTGAGAAAGCATTTATTTATTTGTTTGTTTGTTTTAAAGATTTATTTATTTATTTATACAAGCACTGGGTACAGTCAGAACCGCGGGAAGGTGAGAGAATTCACCAGAGCCAGAGCAGAGAGCAGAACAGACTGATGAAGTACACTGCTGAGGGGAGCAGCGGCGGGCAGGAGAGGTCTGCGTGCCATGTGGGACCCTCACCTGGTGGCCAGGGATAGAATTGGCTCTGCAGAGGCTGCGGGCAGCTTCACAACCCAGCGCTCATCTGCTGTGCCACTGGGGAGGCCCACAAGTTCCAGTTTTTAGTTATAACTATCCTACTATATGTGAAATCAGATTTCACCATGCTTTTGATTTGCATTTCTCTAATGATTTACTGTGCTTTTGGGGTATTTATACCTCTGGCGATTTTAAGTCTATAGCTCTTTAGTTTTCAGTTATAAGGACAAACAAAGGTATATTTATAAATTCTTTGCAGGTCATGCGTATGTGATCCCGGAATATTATGCCATTTTACTGGTTAACTCTAGTGTCTAACTCAGCATTATCTGAAGAAATTCTTGGATACAGATGAAGTTTCTGGAATTAGGGGTGAGGTGGAAGGGAAGAAGTTTGAGAAATTTGGACAACCAGTTCCTTAAAAAAGGACTTGGAATTTCATTCATTCCATGTGACATGAGGTGAAAACTATAAAAATCTTTCCAGTTACGTTTCCCAGGCTTCTTGCCTCTCCTACTGGATTTCCTCATACCACCTTAGCCTAGTTAGGACAGGCTGTGCTCTTGAAGTTTTCCAGCCTTACTGCTAGAACTTGACTTGAAGCCTGTACTTCAGACTTACCCTGAGGTGTCCAATCTGGGGGGAACAAACTATTCCTTTAATTTTATACTTGAACCCTAAGTATCATCTGCAGTGTTCCTGGCCAAGGTGTTTTATAATCACACAAGAGTTTTTAGTTGGCCTATTGCCTGCCCCTTTCTATTATTGATTGTGCTAACTTATTCCTGGTAGTCTTTGAAGACCCAACTCTGGTGCCTCACTGCAACCCCATCTGAGTGATTGGGGAGGGAGGGCCAGGTCTGGTTCCCTGACCTGCTGTCACATCCTGTACAATAGGAAGACATGGGAAGGGCTGTTTTTGTTTTTCTTCCCCACCCCACTTTTTCCTCAACATTTTTTCAATGAAAAACTTCAAACCTGTAGAGTAGAATTTTACAGTAAATACCCATATACCCACCTACTATTAACTTTTTGTGATACTTGCTTTATCACATACCTATTTATCTCTCCCTCATTTCTAAATAAAATTGCAATTTATGAATCGTATTGATAAGTTTTGTAAGATGTGATTCTTTCTAAGTTTAACAAGTAATAGAAAACCAGGTAGATTCTAACACTCTTAAAATGATTTGAAATGTCTAATAAATATTATGAAACTAAAAGGAGGGCTCAGAATAAATGCTAAAATAACCAAATTGTTTTAATCATCAAAAAGACCTAAGTTCTCCCTGGGTCTTTCCCAAAATAATGGAATTAATTCTTTAGTTTCAAGATAGAAATGTCCATCAGACCAATTCCATCAGCTTTTCCCATTTTTTCTTGGTATCTGACACTGAAATTGGCAGGTAATCATGAATTTTGGAGGGTATGGAAGAAGCGGTCGCTGCATTTGATGACTGGATCAAGAAGATGCGGTACATATACACCATGGAATATTACTCAGCATTCAAAAAAGATAAACACATGCAATTTGCAGCAACATGGATGGTGCTGGAAGGGATCATGCTCAGCGAAATAAGCCAGAAAGAAAAAGAAAAATACCGGATGGTCTCACTCATAGCAGGAATCTAGAAAACTTAAATAAGGGACCAGGAAATTGAATAACTATAAGAAAGTAAAAATCAAAATCAACAAACAACTATGAACCAGAGACACTCTATGGGGGATGGGGGGCGGGGAGGGGAGGGATTGGGGTCAAAATAAGGGGGTCACAATTGTATGGGGAATATAAAAATTTATAATAAAAAAATTGAAATCAGTCATTTTAGTTTAAATTAAAATTATGACAAAGGAGTTTGAAATTAAAAAAAAAAATGCATCTGTTTTCAAATGCGAAATGTCAATTACAAAAGCCTGGTCATAGCTCCACCCTGTGGTGTGTTCAACTCTATCTAAATTCTATTCAACCCCTGTCCACTGCGTCATGGGCCAGCAAGCTGCAAGCAGCCTGATCTGGTAAATAACTTTATCAGAACACAGCCCCATCTGTTCAAATACATATTGTTTTTAACTGCTTTCTCACTCCAAGGGCAATGTAATCAGAGTCCATTGTTCATTACTACTAAATACAAAGTCAGCTGTTTTTTATACACTGAGATTGTGCCCTGTGATCTCGAACTCTGTGCAACCAACACAGAAGTAGGATTGCATCTATTGAAACAGTTTCTTGAGGACAGGAACCCCACCCATTCTATAAAACTTGATAAAATATCGAGTGAGTGGATGAATAAATTATAGGTAGATGTGTCTAAACCCAATTAAAAAGTTTGAAACATTCATTTTTTTTAAGATTTATTTATGCATACAAGAGCTGGGGTACAGGCCAGAGGTGTGGGGTATAAGAGGATTCACCAGAGACAGAGCGGGGAGCAGAACAGGCAGATATACTGAAATACACTGCTGATGAGGGCAGTGGGTGAGACAGGAGAGGTCTGCTGCGCCATGTGGGTCAGCTCCCTGGCCGGGGATTGAACTCGAGCCACAGTGGCTGCCAATAGCTTCATAATGCTGAGACTTAACCCCTTATGCCACCAAGGAGGCCCCAAATCTGAAACTTTAAAATAAATGATATATTTCAGGCATACAAAGTAAGAATAAATATCCATGTAGCATCCACACGTATAAGAAATAAAGTCTTTATACAGATGAAACCTCTTACATGATTTCCTTCACCTACCTCCCCACAAGAATTAAATTCAAGAATCTTGAATTTGGTGCTTATCATTACTATGTACTACTTTATATTTTTAGTTCATTGTTTTGAGATAATTTTGGGTTTACAAAACACTGCAAAAATAGAAAGTTCTAGTATGCCTCTCACCCGTTTCCCCTATGTTAACATTACAAAATCATAAAAACAATGATCAAAACTAAGACATTGACGTTAACTGAACTACAGACTTGATTTGACTCTCACGAGTTTTTTCTGTAATGTCCCTTTTCTGTTTCAGGATCTAACAGATGACCCCAAGTGCTGTTAGTGGGTGAGTTGCCTTCATTCCCTCCAGTCAGTGAGTTTCTGAGTCTCGTTTCCTCAATATTTTCAGAGTAGTGAGAT